CTGAGGCCATGCGTTTCGACAAGGTCTGCAAACCTCTCAGGTCCAAGGAAGTATTCTGGGCTAACCATGAGCATTCTCTGTAAGAACTATTAATTTTGCATTCATTTTGATGCTAATCTAAAAGCATTTTGTCGTATGTTTGACCCGCTGACAACAGAGCACTGACATGGTTTCAAGGCACACATTCGTGTTTGTATTTATAATCATGTCATCTAACAGTGCCTCTGTTTATCTTTTAGCATAGTGTTCCTCAAACTAGGGTGGACGGATATATGTTTAGGGTTCGTTGGATGCACTAGTTTGGGAAACGCTGCCCTCTGACACAGAGCATTCCTGTAGGATCTGCCACACTGTGGCTGAATCTTGGGCAAGAGCCAGACGGAAACGGTGGGACTGCAAGAGGCAGGCTCCCACAGCCCCAGGGGCCAAAGCGGGCGGCACGTGAGGCTGTGATCCGGCCTGGGCTGACCTCCGGGGAGGTCAGGTGGGCGGGTGGGGGCACGACGTTGCAGGGCAGTGGTGCTGCTTGTAAACATGTGGTGGCAGCCCTACAGCTCTGCTTGGGCCACCAGGGGCCAGCCATCATGGGCAGTGACCGGGACATCCAGGCAGGGCAGGGACCCAGAAAGAGAGGCAGAGCCAGCTACAGGTCCCCTAGGACTCAGGACAAACCAGGAAACCGAGGCGGGGATTCAGTGTTACCACTGGGCCAACCTGGAGGGGGTTCAGAATCGTGGGCACACAGGGGTGCCCATCCCCGCGCCCTAGCACCAGCAGCACAGGGGCTTCCCACCCAGTTAGCTCCGACTCACCCTTCACTTACCAGATTAAATGTCAGTCCCTCTGGGACTCCTCCCCGGCCCCTGACTCGGTGAAGCTCTCTGCCGGACCCACACTTGCCTGGGACCCTCTTCCACTGGGCGTGCTGCTCAGGGTCTGCGTCCCTCACTGCCCGCAGGCCCGAGGACAGGGGCTGTGCCTGGCCCGTTCACCGCTGTGCTCCCCTCACTGGCACGTCGCGGGGCTCCGTAAATACTGTCGATGAAATATAAACAATGTGTGTACCAGGTCCTTCTGGTCTGAGCCTCCGGTGTGCCCTCTGGCTTGGTCAGAAGTGGTCTGTGTGGACCTGGCCGCGCAGAGTCCCAGGACGAAAGCAGCAAAGCGACATTCTACAGAAACGGTCTCACAGCCCCACGCCGGAGGCCCCAGCTGCAGGACACGCGACTCTCCTGATCTGACTGCCCAGACAGAGGCCCTCTCTCCCGCTCCTCAGCTCTGACTGGGTCACCGCAGACAGCGCGGGGCCATTCTGAGACTTCCCTAAGCATGAGGCACTTCTGCTTTTGGAGAACACACCCCATATCAGAAACTCTGACACGCTCTTTCCTCTCACATGAAACGCAACATATTTAACCACATATGAGGTGCGTTCAGATGCAGTTGACTAGCTGGAATCCCCACCTTTCAGTTTTGATTTCATAGTCTCCTTTTTTCAGTTTGAAAAATTATATAAGGTTTTCAAGTCTTGAAATTATTTATAGGCCCACGAAAAGCTCATTTAGTCATTTATTGGATAA